GCGCCCGTCCCCACGGCGCGCTCGGAGGCGGCTGCCGGTGAGACAAAGGCAGAGATTTGCAAACTCGTGTACATTCACATCTGCTCACGCTTGCAGCCACAGGCCTGGACACCACCACAGGTAGACGTGACTATACCTAAGCCTGGGCAAGAACACATCATACACACATCCCTGTGTGCATAGGGAGGTACCTATTCTTGTCCATACATCCACGCCCTCATATATTATGGATAAACAGCAGCGCGTCTCTGTACTCTCCCTTGTGTTCACAGCAACACTCTCCCCCCAGGCACTGATGCAGCTCACCTTCAAAGGTCACGTTTTCCCCTGCTAACGCAAGTGCTGTTTACTAGTAGGCTTGTCATTCACGCAATCCTTCCTTCCTTGCCAATAAATGACAAGCTGGATTTCTGAGATGGGCAACTGGTACTCCAAAATCACTATGATATTAACAATAAAGGCTGCTTTCTTCAGGCATTGGTCTCACTTTTGTCCTGTATATTATCCTAGCCACAATAACTCAGAGTCCCACGCCTCAGCTCTGGGTGAAGGGTGGCAAATGATTTAAACAAAAGTCTGGCTGCTGAGTATTACTTCTTCCAAAATCACAGTACATGATCTTGCTTAAGCCCTGTATCCTTTCCATGTACTAATTCAACCTCTGAAAGAGCGGTAACAGATACACCTGAAGTTCCATCTTGCCCGTTTGGATGATAGGAAAAAGTGAGATATGTACACCTCATATCCCCCATAAATACGCTTTTCATGTCTGCGGTGAGGTGTATCTTTTCTGGTACATTACTAGAAAAGAGGGTGGAATATAGCCCCAACAAGAACTAATAAAATCCCATAAGGATGAAAAGCACAAGTCCACAGGAGTAGCTGTCTTACCTTTGAAATATGTGATGTTTCATAATCCATTAAACAGTTTTTCTCTTTGTGCTTTTTTATATGCCAAACAAAATTTTTTTTTATATTTTCAGACGTATCACAAATGGCTAATCGTGTATTCAGTTATGCATCGTTCATCCCTCTTGGTTTTTGTTTCCTGGCTTTGACCTCTTTTCCTGCACTTGTTTCCTCAGCTTTTAACACATAACAGGCATTGGCTGACCTATATGGAAAACAGATTATAGTCTAAATCATAATAAAACTTATATGTTTAGTAAATACCTCTATAAATTTTTCAAGAAATCTCAATATTTCACAAAAATAAAATAAATTGGCTTTTCACCACTGATACTGTTTGCTATTTGTTTGCCTTAGTGCCGGTTTGAACAATGAAATTCTGACATGCAATGTTTTTCTAGTAATATGAAGTTTAAGACTGTACTGGCATGGTTATAATAATGACAGGTATATTACATCACAGGGATATGTTCTGAATTCATACATGAATACAGTTCATGAAGTCTCACAGTTCTGATTTTTTATGTCTAGAGTTTTTTCTATTTGGGTTCACTTTTCTGACATTTGTGCCCTTTCTGGAGGTAGTAAGAATTCTGATGAGTGAGAGGAGGGATTTCTGTATGCACACTTAAATTTAGTGAATAATACTATTAAACACCTGCACCCTCTTTATCTATTGAGGTACTACAACGTCAGAAATTCCAGTAGGAATCGAAGGGATCTCTGAATTTTTGCTGATACTTTATGCATTCAACAGAGTATTATTTTAATAGGAGACTAAGTGTCATTAAGGCTATGGTGGCAGACACATATCTGTGATTTGAGGCAGAGAATCCTGTGATCAGGGGCCTAAACTACAAACAGGCTGCCCAGCGCATACCCTCTGCTGGCCTACAAGAAATTGCAAAGCCCTTCTCAGTCGAAAGGGAGCTAGTACTACGGTGACCGTAGAGCTCCCTCTCCTGGGAAAGAGGAGCCAGTCGGCTTAGTCTTAAAAGCTCGTGAGCTGTCAGTTCTGAACGGTTTCTTCAGCACGATCCCACACCAGAGAATCAGAGGTTTTGTAAGAAGAAAAAAAAATGGTAGCACATAAGCAGAGTCTTTTTAAAGAGAAATAAAACATGATTTCTGACTAATCTGTGGCTGAAACTAAGAAACCATATCGTCGTAGCACAAAGCACCACTCTGTGGTAGAGTTTGACAAATGACCTGTAAGAATATAAATAATAATATCCTAAGTGTTAAATAATCACTCAAAAGGCAGAAACAACATCATTAAAAATTAAAAGGAAAGGCTTTCATAGTAAGAAATGAACTTTGCCTGTCAGGTGACTGTTTCTTAAACGGCTTTTGATCCATTACCAGTTGTTTTGCTCAAAGAGATACGCATACTTACTTAAACAGGAACTCATTAACACATTAGCTTCTATTTATCAAGATAAGAAACACCATAACATTAGTACTTGTCCTAGTTTTGGCTGGGCTAGAGTTAATTTTCTTCCTAGTAGCTGGTACAGTGCTGTGTTTTGGATTTAGGATGAGAATAATGTTGATAGCACACCGATGTTTTAGTTGTTGCTAAGCAGTGCTTGCACTAGTCAAGGACTTTTCAGCTTCTCATGCCCTGCCAGCGAGAAGCTGGGAGGGGGCA